TGACGGGCGGGTCGGGCGGGCGGGACATTCAAGCGGGATGCCTGAATAGGGCGAGAGCGCGATTCCTAAGTAAGGTGTGACGGCGTCCTTGGCGCGAGCGTGGTGCCTGAGCGTAGGTGGCGAGATTTCTGAGTAAACTGCGAAAGAATCACAGACGAGAGCGCAATTCCCGGAAAGGAGATGTCTGGCGGGAGCGGGGGTCTAGACTCTAGCGCCAGGAAATCTTAAGCGGGAACGCCATTCCTGAGTAAATTGACAAGAAGCCTCAGACGCGGGGGGGTCCTGACTAAATTGCAAGGAGGTCACAGGCGGGAGCTCCGATCCTGAGTAAATTGCAAGGAAGTCTCAGGCAGGAGCCGTTGTTGTTGTAGCCCCGGGAAGCAACAATGGAGTTTGATCAGACTAAATTGTCAGGAAGACTCAATCGGGACCGCCGTTCCTGAGGAAATTAAGAGGGAATCTCTGACGGGAGCGGGGGGTCCTGAATAAATTTGGAGGAAGTCTCAGGCAGGACCGTTGCTGTTGTAGTCCGGGCGGCCTCGGGCACAGTTTGAACACCAAGACTTTTTCCTTGTAGAAAACAGCCTGCGAACGTCGAGGGGCGCACTTCGACTGAGAAAAGCAATATGCACCGGTGAGGGGGGATCAGCAATAATTCTTCATAGATGGAAGTTCGCCAATAACAACAACAGCAGCGACAACAACAACAACAACAACAACAACAACAATCACTTTACCCGAACGCTCAGTGTTCTCACCAGTGCCAGGGTTTTCATGCGACGCCAGCCAATACCCCCACTTTGTGGGGGGGCAGTGCAAGCTCTACCAAATATCCACACGACTCTTCGCCACCACCCACACCCAGCTTCCCGCCCTATGACGTTCGGACACTTCACTTCGTGGCCTGCGGACGACCGTGGCTACTACACTGGCGTGGAGTACACACCCACAGAAGTTGTTAGGACAGCGCGCGCGGGTAGAAATTTTGAAAAGTCGTGCAGGTGTTTTTCGAGGACCTACGGTGCGATTCGTGTGATTTTATGATGCGCGGTGCTAAAATTCTTAAGAAGCCCAATGGTTTTTGGAGATTTCGGCGTGCGCGCGCGAAGAAAAAACGAATGTGTCCCGCATGGTATTATTTGACAGGGATGATGGCCCTGGCAGGTGCGCAACCGTTGTCGCAGAAGTTCGAAAAAGTTGCTCGCAAAAGCCCGTTTGACAGAAATGTTTAAAAAGTGTTGGGTTTCCTACGAATCCGCAAGAGCGCGCGGGATGAGATTTTGACAATTTTTTGTTGAAAAACCATTGGTTTTTTGATGTTTTTATGTTAAAATCGCTCCGAACACTAAGCTTTTGGAAGGATTTCGTCTTGCGCGCGCGAATGTCCACTTTACCTTATTTTTTGCAAGGGATTCTTGAAATTTGATTATATTAGAACAAGAAATGTCATTTTATAGTGTTTTTTGCAAGGGAAAGCGGATTACAACAAAACAACCGGATCTTGATCACATCGTTTTACCTGAGGCTTCCTCACGAAAATGATGAAAATGTAGCTGCGGCCTAGGCGGCGCAGGGGGGGCGCGCACCAGGGGGCCCAACAATAATTATTCTTTAGAATAAATAATGTTCAACAGCAACAACAATCATTTTAAGACTGTTCGCTCTTACTTTCCCGTGTGACATTCGAAACGAGTTCCCCACACCCTCGCTACCCGCCCTTCTTGTCTTCGAGCTCACTCTCTTTAAGGGGGATTATTTTCCTTTGCGGGGGGCGGCGGGCTTAGACAGGCGGGAAAACCTGAACGGGCTGACAATCCGTCGTGGGAGTACATGTGCCCGCCCCAATATGCCTGAGTATGAGTAAGTCTGTGTATGAGTAAGTCTGGGTATGAGTAAGTCTGAATATAAGTAAGTCCGAAAGGAGGGGAGGATAAGATAAGGGACTAGGAGGCGCCCAAGTAATAAGAATATACCCATCTTATGATATGGGGAACAACAACAAAAACAACAACAACAACAACAACAACAGCAACAACAGCAGCGACAACAACAACAGCGGGTTTAGACAGGCGGGCTTAGACAGTTTGAGCACCAAGAATTTCCCTGGTGCGAGCATCGGGGGGCGCACTTTGACTGAGAGAAAACAACGCGCACCGGTGGGGGGGGACCAACAGAAATCATTCTTCAGGAATGAAAGCGCAACATCAGCTGACGCGCGAAGACAAATTAATCAGAAAGGAGGGGGGAGGCGGCCCGGGAGGAGGGAGGAGCAGAAAGGAAAGAGTGCGAACGTTCGAAGAAGTCCTAGGCGAAAGCTCCATTCTACAAGGAAGTCTCGGGCGGCAGCCCACGGCGGGCGGACAATCCTCTGACGGGCGGGTCGGGCGGGCGGGACATTCAAGCGGGATGCCTGAATAGGGCGAGAGCGCGATTCCCAAGTAAGGTGTGACGGCGTCCTTGGCGCGAGCGTGGTGGTGCCTGAGCGTAGCTGGCGAGATTTCAGAATAAACTGCGAAAGAGCCACAGGCGAGAGCGCAATTCCCGGAAAAGGGATGTCTGGCGGGAGCGGGGGTCTAGACTTCAGCGCAAGGAAATCCTAAGCAGGAGCGCCGTTCTTGAGTAAAGTGTGAAGAAGCCTCAGAAAAGAGGGGGGGCTGACTAAATTGCGAGGAAGTCACAGGCGGGAGTGGTCCTGAGTAAATTTGGAGGAAGTCGCAGGCGGGACCGCAAGGTGCGAGCGTCGAGGGGCACACTTCGACTGAGAAAAGCAACATGCACCGGTGAAGGGGGATCAACAATAATCCTTCTTCAGGAATGAAAATTCACCAATAACAACAACAGCAGCGACAACACCAACGACGACGACAACCCTAAAAACAAAAAAAAAAAAAATGACAACAGCAACAACCACCATCATTTTAAGACTGTTCGCTGACACTTTCCCGTGTGATATTCGAAACGAATTCCCCACACCCTCGCTACCCGCCCTTCTTGTCTTCGAGTGCACCCTCTTTGGGGGGATTATTTCTATTTGCGGGGGGCGGCGGGCTTAGACAGGCGGGAAAACCTGAACGGGCTGACAATCCTTCGTGGGCGTACATGTGCCCGCCATTGGACTTGGTATGGGCCTGCAAAATGAGGAGGGGGAGAACGAGGGAGAGTGGGAGGAAGAGAGGGGGAGGGACGAAGGAAGAGGGAAAACGCCAGGAGAGAAGGAGCGAACAGGGAGGCGGTTGATTAGAGGCAGAGAGAGAGTGAGAGAGGAACAAAAACTGTGTATATATACATCTATATATATATATATATATATGTAAGAGGTCGAGAAAAAGAGAGAGAGAGAGAGAGGGGATAGAGAGAGAGAGGGAGGGAGGAAGGAGGCAGGAGAGGGGAGGGAGAAGGGAGGAGGGAGAGGAGGGAGAGGGGATAGGGCAGAGAAGCATAAGGATGAGGGACGAGAGGAGGGAGAGAGAAAAGAGGAGAGGAGGGAGGAGGGAGAGGGAGGAGGAGCAGGAAGGTGAGAGCGTGAACGTTCGAAGAAGTCCTAGGCGAAAGCGCCATTCCACAAGGAAGTCTCGGGCGGCAGCCCACGACGAGCGGGCGATCCCCTGACGGGAGGGTGGGACATTCAAGCGGGATGCCTGAGTATAGAAAGGGCGCGATTCCTAAGTAAAGTGTGACGGCGTCCTTGGCGCAGCGTGTCTCCTGAGCGTCGAAAGCGCGATTTTTAAATAAATCGCAAGGAGCTGACAGGCGAGAGCGCAATTCCTGAATCAAATGTGAGGGGTTCTCTGGTGGGAGCGGGGGTCTTGATTGAATTGCAAACAAATCTTGATTCAATTGCAAGGAAGTCTCAAGCGGGAGCGTCATTCCTGAGTAAAGTGTAGGGAAGTCTCAGATGGGAGCGGGGGTCCTGACTAAATTGAGAGGAAGCCACAAGCGGGAGCACCGATCCTGAGTTAATTGTGAAGAAATTTTACGCCGGAGTGGAGGTCCTGAGTAAATTTGACAAAGTCTCAGGCGGAAGCCGTTGTTGTTGAAAATCTGGGGGGCCAGGGGCGCAGTTTGAGCATCAAGACTTTCCCTGTCAAAAAACAGGGTGCGAGCGTCAAGGGGCATACTTTGACTGAGAAAAAATATGCACCAGTGAGGGGGTGATCAGCAATGATTACTCTGCAAAGATGAGAGTTCAACAACAACAACAACAACAACAACAACAACAACAACAACAACAACCAACCAGCAGAATCCTCACCACGGATCACCACTTCAGCCACGCACCCAGGGACAGTGAATGACCGTTCGGCCCCCTCGCTCTGATGTGCCCACGCATGGTGGTGCCTGGGGTCGTATGAAGCAAGCCTGGAAGGGCGGCAGCCCTCGAGCCAGGCCCTCTGCTGCGACCAAGCTCGAAGCGCCAGGCCGCACGTTTCGAACTGGAGCCAGAATGGCCACGGGGGAAGAGGAAGGAGGAGCAGGAAGGAGGAAGCAGGGAGGGAGACGCGGGGCGCTGCGAACTCAAGGACCCAACTCCACAGGAGGGGTTGGGAACAGTCGGGCCTGAGCTGGATCGGACCGCGAAATCTGACCAGATCGGAATTTCGTCGGATCGCGCCTGGATCGTCCCGGTACACGTCGGTCGGAAGAAGTAGGTAAAAACATCGAGTAGGAAGGCGGATAAAGTGGATTGGGTCCAGGCCCTCCCAGAGAATAACAGAACACAGCAAAAACATGTCGATTCTTGAAGTAGGAAGGCGCTTGAAACAGATTGGGATCTGGGAGTCCAAAAATACCTACTTTCAACGACCGGCGTGTATCGGGTCGGGATCAGAAGGCTTGGGATCGCGCCTGAATCGTCCCGGATTCGGGTCGGGATCAGAAGGGCTGGGATCGCGGATCGGGCTCGGCCACTGCAGACCAGAGACGGAACCGATCCGTGCCCGGTCGGATCGGACCGCGAGCGGCCCTGACGGTGGTGCAGCGGTGCTCCTTCCCTTGGCCACCGAGAGCTCGCTGGAGAGGCGGTGCGCGCCCGACTCCACCTGCAGCTCCTCGTCGTAGTCCGCGGCCGCAGGCTGGAAGCCAGGCCCGCCGAGCCTGCCGCCCTCATCCTCCGCCTCCTTCCCCTTCTTCTTCCTCCACCCCCCCACACCATCCCTCCTCCCCCTCCTCGATCGTAATCCTCCTCCTCCTCCTCCTCCTCCTCCTCCTCGATCATCTTCCTCCTGATCCTCCTCCTCCTTTTCCTGCTCCGGCTCAACCTCCTCCCCCCCCCACGCCTCTCCTCCAACACCCCCTCCCTTGCCAGTCTAGCATCCTTTCCCCTGCACCCTACAAGGATCTGCGTCAATTGTCGCTACCCCACCTGAAAATATGTTTCCCACGTTTCTGATGTTGCATCCTTCCTCCTCTACTATCCTCGAAAATCGTTCGGTGTCGGCCGATTCCGGGCCACTGCGGGAGATCAACCTTGGAACGCCCGCGTTGGGGTCGCCGCCGCGTCGTCACGACACCAACTTGCCGTACGTTCTCTCTCTCTCTCTCTCTCTCTCCCAGGAGCCTGTCGAGGCCGTCCAGCCGCTGCTCAAGCGACCCCATAAGGTCCACCAGGTGGCCGACCTTCTCGTCCAGGCAAGAGGCCCACAAGGCGCGCTCCTCTCTCGAGGAGCTGAAAGGGAGGAGGGGAAGCAGGGAGGACGGCGACAAGGGGAAAGACACGGGTTAGGATAATCAAGCGGAGGACGAGGGAGGACAAGGGGGAGGAGGCGGCATAGGGAGGAGGAGCAGGAGGAGGAGGAAGAGGAGGAGGAGGGGGATGTAAAGGAGATTGATTGGGGCAGGGGTGGCTTCGGGGGGGAAAGCAGGCAGGGGCGCAGGGTAGGTAGGGCATGGGAGACAGGGGACTGGGGAACGTGGAATGAAAAGTGGTGCGACGCTGACTGGTTGATAACCAACGAAAGGGATGGCGACCCCAATCCCCCAATTTGCAAGAGTTCCGATGGGCCAGCAAAACTTGGGCCAAACTCGGGGATGTTCAGTGGGGGCGTCTGTCTTCGACAGGGGTGCGTTCGAATCCATCCAACCCTCTGGGTGTAGGTGGTTTAACGAACTTCGTCTTCTCTCTGCCAAAACCATTTTTCCCCTGCTCGGGGCACGGGCTCATCACTGCTCCTTGTTAATAACAGCCCCATCCCCCACCCGACTGTCAGCCAACCCGGGACATGCCCCACCTCCCCGCCACACCTGACAAGAAATCATACAGAATGCACTCCGTATCCTAATATCGAGCAATCGAGCATGCGCGGGCGCCCAACGACCACACTGTATTTCTTTGACAGGGACGGCGAGGGTGCCGGCATGCTGCTTCTTGCGCACAAGTTGCGGGCAAGCCGACCATCTCTTTCACAAACCAATACTGAATACACTTTGCCTCCAAATCCGGAGCACGCGCGGGCGCCCCATAAACCGTTTTCATTGTCTTTTGATAGTCTTGCGCGCAAGGTGCGCGCACGCCAACCGTCCCTGTCAAAGAAATACAGAATGCACTTTGCCTCTAAATGCCGAGCATGCGCAGACGCCCCGCGACCACTCTGCATTGTTTTTTGACAGGGATGGCGGGGGTGCCGGCATCTTGTTTCAGGCGCGCAGGCCAGCCATCCCTGTCAAAAAGACAATACAGAATTTCATGATCGGTCGGCCCTACGTTTGCTTTGTGGTGAATGGGTATTCTTTGTTGTAGTTCCCAACCATCCTGCGGTGTTGGGTCGTCGTTTTGAAGAGACGGTCCCCGCGTCTCCTTCCTCCCGCTGCCCGCCCTCCCTCCTCCTCCCCCTCCTCCCCCTCCTCCTTCCTCCTTGCGTTTCACACACCGAGTACGGCGCTTCGTGGCCCCATAGGGAGCTCCACCCAAAGCCCCACTGGGGGTGGCCACATGCGTCCGCCACACACAGTACAGCGTTTCGTGGCCCCATAGGGAACTCCACCTAAGGCCCCACTGGGGGTGGCCACGTGCGTCCGACCCAGTACAGCGCTTCGTGGCCCCATAGGGAGCCCCACCCAAGGCCCAAGTGTTGGTGGCCACATGCGTCCGCCACACGCACTACAGCGCTTCGTGGCCCCACAGGGAGCTCCACCCAAGGCCCCACTGGGGGTGGCCACATGCGTCCGCCACACCCAGTACAGCGCATCGTGGCCCCAAAGGGAGCCCCACCCAAGGCCCCAGTGGGGGTGGCCACATACGTCCGCCACACACAGCACAGCGCCTCGTGGCTCCATAGGGAACTCTACCAAAGCCCCAGTGGGGGTGGCCACATGCGCCCGACCCAGTACAGCGCTTCGTGGACCCATAAGGAGCTGGGGATGGCCACATGCGTCCGCCACACGCAGTACAGCGCTTCGTGGCCCCATGGGGAGCTCCACCCAAAGCCCCAGTTGGGGTGGCCACATGCGTCCGCCACACCCAGTACAGCGCTTCGTGGCCCCATAGGGAGCCCCACCCAACGAACCTGTGGGGGTGGTCACATGCGTCCGCCACACCCAATACAACGTTTCGTGGCCCCATTGGGAACTCCTCCCAAGGCCCCAGTGGGGGTGGCCACATGCGTCCGCCACACCCAGTACATCGCTTCGTGGCTCCATAGGGAACTCCACTTAAGGCCCCAGTGGGGGTGGCCACATGCGTCCGCCACACCCAGTACAACGCTTAGTGGCCCCCTAAGGGAACTCCACCCAAAACCCCAGTGGGGGTGGCCACATGCGTCCGACCGAGTACAGCGCTTCGTGGCCCCATAAGGAGCTCCACCTAAGGCCCCACTGGGGGTGGCCACATGCGTCCGACACGCCCATGTTGGCACACCCTTCACACGCTTCGTGGCCCCATGGGGAGCTCCACTTAAGGCTCCAGTGGGGGTGGCCACATGCGTCAGCCACACCCAGTACAGCGCATCGTGGCCCCATAGGGAGTTCCATCGAAAGCCCAGTGGCGGTGGCCACCACATGCGTCCGCCACACCCAGCACAGCGCCTCGTGGCCCCATAGGGAGCTCCACCCAAGGCCCCAGTGGGGGTGGCCACATGCGTCCGCCACACCCAGTGCAGCGCTTCGTGGCCCCATAGGGAGCCCCACCCAAGGCCCCACTGGGGGTGGCCACATGCGTCCGCCACACCCAGCACAGCGTTCCGTGACCTTATAGGGAGCTCTACCAGGGTTGTCCGCATGCGTCCGCCGCACCCAGTACAGCGCTTCGTGACCCCATGGGGAAATCCACCTGCGGCCCCAGCGGGGGTGTCCGCATGCGTCCGCCACACCCAGTACGCCCCTCATACGCTCCGTGGCCCGTTAGGCCCCCACCACGCCCAGTATTCACAGTCATATACATCTACACTAGGCGTATACATGCTCGCATTAGCGCACATAGATTTACTCGCACGCAGACTCAATCACAACCAGACGCGCTCGCGCTCAGTCTCACCCGCGCTCAGCCCCCCGTGCCCAGGCATATCGTTGCAGTTCGTGTTGTGTACCCCGCCACAAATGTCAGCACACCCCTCGCACGGTTCGTGGCCTCATAGGGATCGCCTCCGAAGAGGATATTCAACTGCGTATAGTTGGGCCCTTCTCCAGGATAATTGAGAGAAGCACCTCAAGGCCCCGCTGAGCAGACCACGTGGGGCCCCATTTCGCAATGTCCGCATGGTCCCTCCGCTCAAGGGTTGCAGGGCCATCATCAGAACAGCACTCGTCGATGCCAGGCCCGCCGTCCTCCAGATTGCGCATGCCAGCGGCGTCCCAGCCCTCTCGTGGAGTACGTGCCGCACTTGCCGCGCCTCGCACGCTTGGGCCTCCAGGGTGCCTGGTGCACCAGAATCCGTGGCGCACATGGCATGCGTGGCCCTCCTCGGCTGAGACGATGTGTTGGGAGGGCGGGTGGGAGTGAGCGAGACGGCTTGCGGTCTCGGGGGGGCCTCGACTCCTCCCCCACACCCACTCCCCCAGGCTTGGAAGGAGGGGAGACGGAGAGGTTAGAGCGCCCAATGTGGCCCAAGATGGCTCCAAGAAGGTCTCAGCGAGCCCACGATGCTCGGCGCTCACCAGCGAGCCTCCAGCGGAGGTCACCGCAGCAGTGCTGGAGCAGATGCGTCTGAAGCACCCGCGCAGCCAGCGACCAGTGGACGCCGCCAGCCTCCCCGCTGTCAGCGCAGCGGCGGCTCCGCAGCTTGACGCCGCCACGCTCGAGCGCGAGGTGCGGGCCTTCCCTCGGGGCTCCGCTCCAGGCCCCTCTGGCCTGCGGCCACAACACCTCAAGGACGCGCTGCAGACGGCGGCCCACCGCGACGAGGTGCTGCAGCAGCTGCTCGGCCTCGCCAACCTCCTCGCGAAGGGTCTAGCCCCCCACGGCGTGGCGGAGTACCTGGCTGGCGCCTCGCTGGTGGCCCTGCCCAAGAAGGACGGCAGCCTTCGACCAGTGGCGGTGGGGGAATCCGTGCGGCGCCTGGTGGCGAAGTGCCTCTGCAGCCAGGTGTCTGACGCCGCCCGCGACCGCCTCGCCCCACTGCAGGTTGGCGTCGCCCTCCCGGGCGGCTGCGAGGCCGCGGTTCACGTGTCCCGACAGTGGTTCGCACGCCACGCTGGCAGCAGGCAGAAGGTGTTCGTTAAGCTAGACCTGAGCAACGCTTTCAACGCCCTCGACCGCCAAGCCCGCCTGCAAGCAGTGCACGAGGAGCTGCCCGCGCTAGCGCCCTGGGCTTCCTGGTGCTACCGGGCCCCCTCCCTGCTCTGGCTCGGCCGGCACTCGATCTGCTCGGAATGCGGCGTGCAGCAGGGAGACCCATTGGGGCCGCTGCTCTTCTCCTTGGCGCTGCAGCGCGCTGCTGAGAGGGCCCTCCGCCAGCCCGCCCCCGCGGCCGCGGGCGCCCTGGACCTGACTTTCTTTTTTCTCGACGACGGCACCCTGGCGGGCGACTGGCAGGCGGTGGCGCGCCTGCTCCACCTGCTGGTGGGAGAGTTGGCGGCCGTGGGACTCCGCTTAAGCACGGGGCCCGGGAAATGCGAGGTGGTCCCCGCTGGCGGCGACGACAGCGAAGTGAATCTGCAGGATTTCCCCCCGGGCTTCCGCCTGCGCACGGACGGCTGCTTCGAACTCCTGGGCGCGCCAGTCGGCAGCGACGCCTTCTGCCTCGATCACACGCGGCAGCGAGTCGGCAAGGCCACCGAGCTCCTCGAGGCACTCGGCGCCCTCGAGCACGCCCAGGTTGCGCTCCACCTTCTGCGGCAATGCGCCGGCTTCTGCAGACTCAGCTACTCGGCGCGGGTTGTCCCGCCCAACGTGCACACGGAAGCGCTCGTCGCGCTTGACAACGCAGTGCGCGCCAGCCTCGAGCAGCTGAGCAGCAGCTCCCCCACGGACGACTCCTGGGCGCAGGCGCAGCTCGCCCTCAAGGCAGGCGGCCTGGGGCTGCGCTCAGCGGAGCGCCACGCGCCCGCCGCCTACCTGGCCTCCCGCGCGGCCTGCTCTGCGCTCTGCCAGCAGCTCTGGGCGGGCTACTCCAACGACGACACTGGCGCCGACGACGCCCTGGGCGCTGCCGCGGCGGCCTACAACGCCCGGCTACCACAGGCAGACAGGATTGCCTTCGACGCCAGCCAGCACGGTGACCAGCGGGGGCTCTCTGACAGGCTGGACAAGGCCGCCAAGGCCGAACTCTGGGAGCGCGCTTGCCCCGCCACCAGGGCCCACCTCTCGCTGGTTAGCGCTCCCGGCGCCAGCGGCTGGCTGCAGGCGCGGCCCTGCGCTGAGGTCGGCACGGAGTTCCCGCACAGCTTGATGCAGATCGCTCTGCAGAGGCGCCTGCGGGTGCAGCTGGCGGACGCCGAGACCTTCTGCCCGGCCTGCGACGGCATCCTCGACGTCTACGGCGACCACGCGCTGGTCTGCCCTTGCCGAGGGGACCGGGTCAAGCGGCACAACGCCCTACGAGACCAGGCTTTCTTCGCCGCGCAGGCCGCGGGGTTCCCGGGCTCCGAGCTCGAGCGGCCCGGCCTGCTGCAGCCTCGCGCGAGGGGCGAGGGCCCGCCGGGGACGGAGGAGAACGGCGGCGAGCTCGACGACGGCGGCCGGCGCCCGGCGGATGTGTATATTCCCCGTTGGCGTAACGGCGCCCCGGCCGCCCTTGACTTCGCGGTCACTTCGGGGCTGCGGGGCGACTTGCTCGCCGCCTCGGCTGCCGCGCCCGGCGCCGCGGCCGAGCGGTACGAGGAGCAAAAACGCCTCTTCCTCGACACCGAGCGCAGCTGCGCCGCCGCCGGGATCACCTTCATTCCCATGGTGGTCGAGGCGCACGGCGGCGGCTGGGGCAGGGAGGCGCGACGCGCCCTGGCCGTCCTGGCCAAGCGCGCGGCGGACGCCACGGGGGACGACCCCTCGCAGGTGGCGGCGGAGCACGCCCAGCGACTCTCGCATCTCCTCCAGAAGGAGAACGCGCGGGCCGTGCTCCGCAGGCTGCAGGCGCCGGTCGGGGCGCCCGCGGCCAGGCTGGCGGCGGCCACGGCGGCTAGCGCGGCCGACGCCGCCTGAACCGCCGCCCTCCCCTGACCACGACCACTCCCTCCACTGACCACGACCACCGCCCCCGACGCCCTGCCCCGACGACCCCCCCTGGCCTTGGCCACGACGACGACCACCTCCGTCCGCCCCCTGCTTGCTCTGCACTGCCTCTGCTGCTTCCCTCCCTCCTTCTGGTCAGCGTCTGTTCGGTGTGTTTTTCCTCTTGCCCCTCGTCCTCCTCCTCCTCCTCCTCCTCCTCCTCCTCCTCCTCCTCCTCCTCCCGGGGCTTGGCACCGTCGCCGCCCGTCGGCCAGCCCCGCAACAGGGCGACGGCGGCCTCTGCCTCAGGCGAAGAAGCCCGACGGCAACCGTCGCCTTTGGGTGCGGAGCCCGCCAGGCCGCGCGGCCAGCATAGGGCCCTCCAGCAAGGCGACTACTTGGGGCGCCGCGCCAAGGAGCGTAGACGGTCTCTATGTATATTAGATGCACATGCGGTCTCTCCCCGCCAGGGCTCCGCCAGCTTGCTTGGGTGTCCAGCCCACGATGGCCTCTAAGATTGCTCAAGATGGCTTAAGTTTGCCTCCGGCAAACATCCAAGAGGCCTTAAGAAGGCCCCAGACGGTTTCAAGTGCCCTACGATCCGGGCCAAAATGGCTCCAAACCTGAAGGACTATCAATATGTTTTGCCTTCTCGCCTTTTCGCTTCCGATTGGCTCGTGAGGGCTCAATGATGGCGCCAATTCGGCCCACGAGAGCCCCAAGAGGGGTCCGAGAGGGCCCCGAGAGCGCCCTAGAGTGCCCCAAGGGGGCCTGAAGACACATGGTTTGAGCATTCCAGGGCGACAGGCCTGACTTTATAACCCCCGCTCGTTTTGAGTCAAGGGGGCCAAGATATCACCAAGAGGCCTCCCAGACCCCCCAACAGGCCTCCAGAGGGCCCGAAGAAGGCCCTCCTCCTCCT